CCTGAAGATGAAACTCAAATACTTTGGCCACCTAATGAGAAGGAAGGACTTACTGGAGGGCAAAAGAAGAATGGGATGACAGAGAATGAGGTGGCTGGATGGAGTCACCGAAGCAGGAGGCATGTGCTTAAATGGACTCCAGAGGATGGTAGAGGACAGGAAGGCCTGGAGGAATGTTGTCCAGGGGGTTGCGATGGGTTGGACGTGACTTTGCAACCAACAACAATCACAGTAAGAATTTTTCCTCTAGTTTTCTTTGTCCATGCATAAAACTGCAAGCTTATTCATTAAATTTGATTTCATTCATCAAGCCTCTGCTCATGTACAAAACTGCGGCTTTGTTTATCAAAAGCAAGGGAACTTTTTGGAGCTTCACTATAATCCTGGATTTACTGAGAGGGAAAAGTACATGAGTCTAGCACCACAACTGCGTATCATCATCTACACAAGTACAAAAACAATCCCAATCATAGCTGTTTTCTGCGAATGGGAACATATGATTTTCTACTCTGGGTATCCATTATTCCAAATCCCAGTAATAAAGAATGAAAAAAAAAAGGCTTTATAATTGAAAAGCTACACGAGCTTTAACTATAGTGGGGAAGATGGGATTTTTCTGAAGGCCTGAATATGCTGCCTTGTGTGGAAAGTCAATCTTGAGACAAACTTAATTACAACATTTTGTAAAAAGGAAAAACGGGGGTGGGGAGGGGGGAAGTGAAGGAAAGGACGTGCCTTACCTGTTTGGCTGTTTCTACGATGGAGAGAGCTTCAGCCTTACCCAGTTGTTGAACCATCTTGTAAAACAGGCTTTCCTTTTCTTGCAGCAAAATGTATGGCTCATCATATTCTTTCAGGCGTCCCCGATCTAAGACCTGATGAGTCGGCAGAAACAAGTTGCTTAATAAAGGTGAATTTTGGCAACAGCAACAGGCGTCTTCATCCCACTTGATTTGCTCCAACTCTAGCACACATTTACCTGGGCTCGGTGGATACTTAAGCTACAATGAATAGGGGAAGTAAGAAAATAAAGATTCTCTGTTTTTTTTAAATTATATTTCTACAGTGGCCAGTTTGCCTTAATTTTTGTATAAGAGTGAGGTTGCTGGAAAGGAGAATGAAGGCCCAATCTTCACAAAGTTTTGACTAGAAAGCGGAGCTTAAGGAAATGCCACCAAGGTTTTTTTGACAATACGCAAAGACTCTGTTTATTTACTGTTTATTTATTTGTATGCCGCCCTTTTCCCTGGGGGGACTCAGGGCGGCTCACAATCAAAAGGAAGGGGGGNACTGAGTATCCTGAAGTGGACTACTAGACTCCTAAACAACTGAAAAAATGATCTAGTAAAAAGAAAGGCAACTAAAAGAGCAACATGCAAACAAAAGCAAATAAAACACCCACAGGAGCAAAACAAATTAAAGTTTAATTTGTGTGCATTGTTCAACGGATTGTTAAATTGGTTATGCCCACCTAGCCACTCCAGCCCCCCAACCCTGGGAGGGACCATGAATTGGCCCCCTGTTTAAAAAGTTTGAGGATCCCTGATCTAGTTGATCTGATCTTACATGGTGCAAGCAAGCATCCTGATGATGTTTTTGTTTAAACATGTTTTAACATTCCTTCCTATTGTACTTAATAGAACTTTATGTCCTTCTGCAATCAGAAAGTCTAATTAAACTGCTCATACGTGAAAGGCAAACAAGACATTTCAAGGGCAACGTATACTAACGTTCTCTTTACTATAGACTACCAAACATTATACTTAATTCAGATACTTCACCTTGAGGTGGTTTGTTAAAGGAAATCTTCCCTCAATTTCAGACATAATATATGATTAATATAATTGCATTGCTCATATTTGGAACCCTCTTAAATCTGTCTCTTGATATGGTCATACGAAACTACCTTAAAGCGATTTCTTAGAAGTTTTCTTCCCCTGCAAAAGAAGCTACTTTTTTCCCTCTTTTCCACTGAGTGTTTCATAATTTAAAATTTCTTTTGGTGTTAATTTTTACCTCATTTTAGTTTAAGAAGTGATAAAATCTGCCACAACTGGAGTTGTTTCCAGATGCACATCTTTCCATCACTCTGAAAATTGCCTGGTTATCCCAGTCTGGATATTTTTTTAAAAAAATGGGGGAAAAAACCACAACTCTAACAAAAGAAATTTCTATATGATATCCTTTGGAATTTAAGTCTGAGAAGCCAGAAATGATTGTGCAATGAAAGATGGAATATTCATATGCACTTTTTAAGTATTCCCAACTTCAATCTTGAAAGTTTCATTTACTGTTCTAGGTGGGGAAAATCAAAAGCAACTGTTTATAATCAATCTGAATGAGAATGGTGGTGATGGGGACAGAAAAAGAAATTATGACAGCAACACTAGTTGTTTTCAATGTCAGATATATTTTCACATCTTCTGAATTATGCAGAAATGTACATGGGCAGGGGGAGGGAGAAATGATATTCTCCCTCCCCCTGCCCATGTAAGAGCCATAAAGATAATGATAGTATGATAATATCTCTATTTGCTTTCTTGTAGCTAGCTTCCCTTTTGAAATCTCAGAGTTTGTGGTTTTTTAAAAAAAAAATATTTATTTAAAGAAGATATAGTATGGTCTTTAAGTGCATTGTATATCTAGGAAAAAGTGATATAGAAACACAAATTGTGTAATGAACAGAATCCCATCAATTTTTTTATTTAGGAAAATAAAAATTGAGCTGTAAATGGAAAGGAAATGCAGGGTAGTGAGAAAAGCAGGTAGATTTTTCTTCTTCTTCCTGAAGCTTCTGTTTCATAACCGAAGGAAAAAAATCAATGATTACCCAGAATGAGATGTGTAAAATTTCTCTTTCTGTGTTCAATTGACTTCAGAACGGATTTTCAATCAACGCATCTAACTCAAACTTTGCTCCAAAGATGTACAGAAGTTTGAGTTAGATGCATTGATTGAATCCCTCAGCATCTCTCATACATACCCAGTATGTGGATGGAAGCAAGACATTTTACATAACAAAATGGCTCTGTTCAAACCTTGAGATGTCATTTGGATCATGGGCAGGCAAATGTTTGTAGCTGGAGGCTGCATTAAAAAGAAGAAAGCTGCTTCTGAATTACACAGAGGGCACTGAGGTGATACAATGATGTCACCAGAGAGTCTCTGTCAAAAATTTCATCCATTTGATGAAGCCCATCTCTTGAGGATTGATTTAAAATCACAAATATTTATTCATCTTTGTAGTGTCAGCTAACTATATTGCTCGGTATTTTAGCAAATAAATAAAAAGAAAGCAAAATCATGTTGTACAACGTGAGTTTCTGTGATCAGACTGAGAGAGATTCTCAGGGTGCAAACAAACAAAACCTCCATGTAGATCAGGTTCCTTACTGATTACTGATAAAAAATTTCAGTTATTGATAACAGTTATTGATAGCAACAAAAACATTACAAATACTCTGTAGCAGCTCAAAGACTAATATACTTTGTCGATGTGCTACTTGGCTTATGGAATAGTATCCTGAGAAGCAGTATATGTTCTTGTTTTTTTTTTTCTCCTCAGGATGTTAATCAGATGGATTCTCTTGACATTAACTTGAAAGGAGGTTGAAATGCTGTTCTTCAATCTGATGGAGAGCTTGGCTGCACTTCTTAGTCGTGTATAAGAGTGGAGAAACAATATTCCTTTAACCTCTTTCTCCTGAGGTGGCTCAGCCTCCATAGACACGTTGGCCTTCCCCTGCAGAGCTCTTGCGAAGCTGCGATGAGTGTTCAGCTCTGTTCTTCATTCATCTCATAGAATCAGCTTGACACATGAAAATTCAGAGTTAGAGGACCTCATAGATGACAAGCTAGTCTTGTCTGAAGATGTCTAGTGGTGGAGACAGGCATTGTCTGGGCTCAGCAGCAAACAGCTTGTTAGCATCTATATGTGAGGTCTTCAAGGAATTCTAGGGTTATAGGCTAAACTGGGATTTTAAAAAAATAAAATAAAAAACCTTCCTGGAAGAAGGAAATGGCAAATTATTTCCCAATTGTTGCCACGGTAACTAAACGTATGCCTCCATAAAACCAGCAGGAATCTAGCTCAATTTAAAGGATACTTTAGTATTTTAGAAAAGAATGCTTGATTATTCCCCTTCCAGAAAATTGTTTCACTTTTAAATATCTCTTAACATGAGGCACAAAATCAGCAATGTTTCTCCTTTAACATGTAGATCATTACAGTTAATCCTAACCTTTGGCTCAGCAAATATTTGCCCTCTTCTAGCTGACAGCCCAAATTTTGTAGGATACAATTCCTTCTCAGCTCAGTATTATATTACAGTATAATTCTTCTCCATTCTGTAATAGCTTTTCTTGCTTCCTATTTGTCATATTGAATGGCCATTTAATTAATTTGGGCCAAATGAGAGATTGTCAAGAAATTATTGTGGACATTGAGGGGAAAAAAAAGTCCTATATCTGAATGGTATAATGTGAATCTCAATGTAAAACCGCCCTGATTTAATACTAGAAAGTTGAAAAATCAAATCTGGGCTAAATGGACCCAAACATCTGCATTTATGTAACTTTCTTTGCACTAATTATAAAGAGTTCATTTCATCATTTGTTGAATGTTATATATTTCAGCAATATGTTATATAGTTCAGCTAGTATCCTTCCAATGTTTTGATCTTTCATCGTTTGTGCTGGCTAGAGATTATGGGAAATTGTAATCCAGCATTTAAAGGCACCAGTTTGGGCTAACTGGTCAAGGCTTGAAAGTATGGCCTTTGATCTTTAAAGTAAGGTTTTACAGATTAAACAGAATTTATTTATCCCTCATGTGACTCAACCCTGTTTCATTTCACAGCAGTCAGTAAGGCAAGCCCACTTGTTTCATCTTCCAGCCACAGGTACTTGTAACAAAATAATAATTTTCCCAGGTTCTTGGGACTTGGGAAAAGTCTCAAGGACCTTGGATTTTCCTTGGGACTTGATAGGGGGATAAAACTTGCAAATCCAAACATCTGGCTGATTGTATTACCAATCATAAGAATAAGGAAGGCCAATGTAAGTCAAAGAACTATGAATTTCACCTTGTTGTGTATATTATAATACACTAGCTGATAACCGAGAGTTGTCCAGTTATTTATTTATAGGGGAAAATATCCAGACCAAACGTAATTTCTAATGTTGGATTTTCCCCCTTACCCCTTGTGGAGTACTGTGAAGCCGTTACCATGGCAACTCCACTGTGCTGTACAGTAGAAGCCATTTTACAGCAGTACAATAGAAGCCATTTTAAGGCACAACAGGCTGTATCTTANGGTACCTCACCAAAATTTCTGCTCCTTCCACCTATGGAATTGCTTCCGGACTCAAGGCGGCATGGGTATCCAGCTAGTAGTTATGTATTTGCCTATGGTAGCTAAGGAAATAGGAATCTGCTGCAAACCAAGATAGCTTCAAAATGACACCAGAATTACTGCCATATCTGTTTGCTTTGCTTGTATCCTGTTGCAGAAACATAAGTTGCAGGGTTTGGTCATGTTTTGTCACTTGGTCCTCATTGCCTCTGGGGGACCTAGCTGTCATTGTATTTCATAATGGCCCAGGGTGACTTTGAGAAGCTGTTTCAGTGATTGTCACAATTAACTTGCTCTGATTTCATTTGGGCTGTTTCACCCTGCTTAGTCTGTACTAAGTCTGTACTTAGTCTGTACTACTATGTTCATTTGGGAATTTCACTAAACTTATTTGGGTGTCTTTCAGAACTGCGTGCTTCAGATAGCAATTTATACAAACAGAGGGAAAACATGGGGGAGAATTGAAAGTACCTTCATTTCACTATCTCAGCTGGCTACAATTTTATGTTTGATTATCTGAA